GGGGGGGGGGGGGGGGGGGGGGGGGGGGATGATGACGACATTGGTACACAGACACCCCGAACAATATCTCCACAAGAGCCGTTTTACTCGGTATTTACAGTACTTTCGTGATGGCGGACCCTCTTATATGATGATGGTTGATGATGGTGGTGACGATGATGATGATGCATGATGAACGATGATGATGGATGATGATGATCGATGATGGTGGTGGATTGAGGCGCAGGGGGGGGGGGTGGCTAGTAGTAGCAGTAGTAGTAGTAGTAGTAGTAGCAGTAGCAGTAGTAGTAGTGGTAGTAGTGGTATAGTGGTAGTGGTAGTGGTAGTGGCAGTGGCAGTGGTAGTGGTAGCGGTAGTGGTAGTGGTAGTGGTGGTAGTGGTAGTGGTAGTAGTGGTAGTAGTGGTAGTTGTGGTAGTACTGGTTGTACTGGTAGTACTGGTAGTAGTGGTAGTAGTGGTAGTAGTGGTAGTAGTGGTAGTCGTCGTCGCAGTAGTAGTAGTAGTAGTAGTAGTAGTAGTAGTACAGTAGTAGCAGTAGTAGTAGCAGCAGCAGCAGCAGTAGTAGTAGTAGTACTAGTAATGGTAAGTAGCAAGTAGCAAGTAGTAAGTAGTAAGTAGTAAGTAGTAAGTAGTAAGTAGTAAGTAGTAAGTAGTATGTAGTATGTAGTATGTAGTATGTAGTATATAGTATGTATGTAGTGTGTGGTATGTGGTATGTGGTATGTGGTATGTAGTATGTGGTATGTAGTATGTAGCATGTAGCAGGTAGTATGTAGTATGTAGTATGTAGTATGTGGTATGTGGTATGTGGCATGTGGTATGTGGTATGTAGTATGTAGTATGTCGTATGTAGTATGTAGTATCCCGAGGCGACCATGCATTAGCATGCCCCAGGACCGGTCTGCTTGCCAGACGTGCCAAGCTTGTCGAGCGGGCCTGGGTACGTGTCGCCCGCGAGGCCGTGGGTGCCGAAGGACTCGCCCACACGACCGCCCCTGACGTCACTGCCCACAGAGGCGCGCTCTGCTGCGATGCGACCCTGGTGTCCCCCCTTACACGCACGGGTCACCCGCAGCCCTGCACCGTCGAGGTTGATGGGGCGATGCTGAAGGTTGCCGAGCGCCGCAAAAGGTCCGCCTCGGCTCGGAGATAGGCGGACGGTGGAATGAGGGGTCGCAGCGGTTTGTGCGCGACCTCGTCCGCCTACGGGCTCTCCGCGCCCCCCGCAGTGAGGAGCGCGGCGGTCGCCGGCTGGGCGAGACGCTGGTGGGGCGCTCTTTCGGTCGCGATCCAGCTCGCCGTCGCCAGTACTGTGCTTGGCCGCCCCTGGCCAGCTGCTTTACAGCAGGGGCCGAGTGACGGCCCTTCCTTGGACCGTGTCCTCGACCTTGCTACGAACGAAGGCGCAAGTCGCCTGCCGCTGCGGCCCTAAGCCGGGACCGTCACTGGTTGTTTGTAGGGTCGACTCAACTGTGCAGGCATAAAGGTCCGTGAAAAAAAAGTATGTAGTATGTAGTATGTCGTATGTAGTATGTAGTATGTAGTAAGCAGTATGGAGTAGTAAGTAGTTGTACGGAGCAGCAGTAGTAGTAGTAGTAGTAGTAGTAGAAGTAGTAGTAGTAGTAGTAGTAGTAGTAGTAGTGTAGTGTAGTAGTGTAGTAGTAGTAGTAGTAGTAGTAGTAGCAGGAGGAGTAGTAGTAGTAGTAGTAGTAGTAGTAGTACAAGTAGAAGTAGAAGTAG